CCTTTTAAGAAGGGGAGTTTGAACACAACCCCCCCCCCCACACACACAGGGAGAAACCCTGTGAAGCTAAAGACAGAGATTGGTATGGTGCTGCTACAAGCCAAGGGATGCCAAAGACTTCCAGGGAGCTACCAGAAGCTAGGGGAGAGGACTGGAATAGACTCCTTCACAGCCCTCAGAAGAAACCAACCTGAGTAACACCATGAACACCATGATCTTGGACTTCTAGCCTCTGCAACTATGAGACAATAAACTCCTGGTATTTAAGCCAATCGATTTGTTACAGCAGCCCTAGAAAACTAACACAGATAGTTTTTAGTTTCTTTATACTTTTCAATATTTTTCATATTTTTGACAAGGAACATATGTTTCTTTAAAAGTGAGGGAAATAGATTTATTTAATATAATAATTTCAATTTCTAGGTTCCATAAAACATGGAAATATACTTTGGTTGTATCTGGGTAATGCAACTATAGGTAATTTTTAAAAAAATTCCTTCTACTTCTCTATACTGAAAATGGTTTCTATCATAAGTGTGTGTCATTTTATTATGGGAGGGAAAAGAGACCGCAGGAAGCAGCCATTGAAAGTAGAAAGAGTAAGGGCTTCAGGGAGATGACCCTGGGTCCTGCTCTGCTACTTAGTAATTCTGAGCCTGTTTCCTAATCTGAACATGGGAGGACTATTTCTCAGTGTTGCTGTGAGATGTCAATGAACGGACACATCTGAAATCACCTAACCTGGTGCCTCATAAGCTTCGCCTTCACTCTCTACAGTTTAACTGACAACCTCCATGACTGTGATTATGGTGGTGGGTGGAGGACTGAGGTAATTTAAGAGCTCATGCATGATTTTCCCTGATGGTTAGTGGGAGACTAAGGGCGTGAAAAGCTAGGGAGCCTAGAGGTGGCTTTTACTGTGAAGCGGAGGCCGCTTGAGCTAATAGTCTCTACTTACCCAGCTCCCTCCTAAGGTTTTGGGAAGGGTCAAGGTCAAAAATGGATCAAATGGTCATGTGGCTTTGAAAAAATCTGCAAAAGGTATTTTAACTGCAATCAGTTAGGACTTGCGGTGTCCTTCCACTCTGACCCTCTGCCCCGACCCCCAGCCACTTGGATGGCCTTGGAGTGGCCATGGGGATTTGGGGCCTGGGCTAAGGGAAAGTTGACTTATGGATACATTTAATTTGGGTTCAGTGAGATGTATTTATGTGGTTTGCAGTCACCTCCTTGAATATGTAAGCTGTTAATAGCTAATCTGGGGTACAAGGGTCTTGCAGAGGTATTCCCACTGGCCACTGTGCCTACTCACCCAGCTTTTGAGACGAATAAGAACACATATAAGGGGCTTTCCTAGTGGCGCCATGGCTAAGAATATGCCTGCCAATGCAGGGGACACGGGTTCAAGCCCTGATTCAGGAAGATCCCACATGCTGCAGAGAGACTAAGCGCTTGCGCCACCTCAATGAGAAGTCCGCACACTGCAACGAAGACCCAATGCAGCCAAAAATAAATAAATTTAAAATATATATATATAATATGTTTAAAAAAACACATGTAAGAACACTTTTTACAGAGCCTAGCACTGACGCAGTATGTGCGTACTGGAGGAGAAAAAAGGTTTGAGATATATGGAGCCAGAAAGTTGCCTGTGGGAAACATTTCCAGATTTTACAGCTTCTATATGAAAGAAACTTGATAGAAATTTCTCCAAGTTTGACAACAGTCTTAAAAATTTAAATGACATTACCAATAATGAGTTAAGAAGCTGGAAAAATTATTCTAAACTATTAATGTTGACGAGAACACGATTTTAATCAGGTAAGCTAAAAAAAATCAGGTATAAGTTTTATTCTTTCTACACAAAATGTTACAAAATCTTTATAGGAAGAAGTGATTTAAAAGGGTATGTGGAGGGGCTTCCCTGGTGGCGCAGTGGCTGAGAATCTGCCTGCTAATGCAGGGGACATGGGTTCGAGCCCTGGTCTAGGAGGATCCCACATGTCGCGGAGCAACTGGGCCTGTGAGCCACAACTACTGAGCCTGCGTGTCTGGAGCCTGTGCTCCGCGGCAAGAGAGGCTGCGACAGTGAGAGGCCTGCACACCGCGATGAAGAGTGGCCCCCGCTTGCCACAACTAGAGAAAGCCCTCACACAGAAACGAAGACGCAACACAGCAAAAATAAATTAATTAATTAATAAACTCCCACCACCCCCCCAAAAAAAGGGTATGTGGAAAAAATCTTATTAAAAAGTGATTAAGAAACTACAATGAGGTATCACCTCACACCAGTCAGAATGGCCATCATCAAAAAATCTACAAACGATAGATGGAGAGGGTGTGGAGAAAAGGGAACCCTCCTGCACTGTTGGTGGGAATGTAAATTGATACAGCCACTGTGAAGAACAATATGGAGGTTCCTTAAAAAACTAAAAATAGAACTACCATATGACCTGGCAATCCCACTACTGGACATATACCCTGAGGAAACCATAATTCAAAAAGAGTCATGTACCACAGTATTCATTGCAGCTCTATTTACAATAGCCAGGACATGGAAGCAACCTAAGTGTCCATCGACAGATGAATGGATAAAGAAGATGTGGCACATATATACAATGGAATATTAGCCATAAAAAGAAAAGAAATTGAGTTATTTGTAGTGAGGTGGATGGACTGAGAGTCTCTCATACAGAGTGAAGTAAGTCAGAAAGAGAAAGACAAATACTGTATGCTAACACGTATATGTGGAATCTTAAAAAAAAAAAAAGGTTCTGAAGAACCTAGGGGCAGGACAGGAATAAAGACGCAGACATAGAGAATGAACTTGACATGGGGAGGGGGAAGGGTAAGCTGGGACGAACTGAGAGAGTGGCATGGACATATATACACTACCAAATGTAAACAGATAGCTAGTGGGAAGCAGCCGCATAGCACAGGGAGATCAGCTCGGTGCTCTGTGACCACCCAGAGGGGTGGGATAGGGAGGGCGGGAGGGAGACACAAGAGGGAGGAGATATGGGGATATAAGTATATGTATAGCTGATTCACTTTGTTATAAAGCAATTATACTTCAATAAAGATGTTTAAAAAGGTGATTAAAAAGTGTATGCAGAAAAAGCATTAATGAAATGTGTAGAGGTTGTTAATCAAAATACTAATATTTGAGGGGGGATTTTATTGTCAAACCACTGTTTCATTAAATTTATAACTTCTCTAATATGAACATTAAATTTATAATTTGTGATTTGTTCCTCTATATAAATATTTGTATTCATTTTAAAGTTTGTATTTGTAAGTTTGCATCCTTTTTCTCCAAGATGACAGAAGGCCCCTCACTACCTGGGTCTGGCTTAAAAGAGCCCAAGTTTCAGATTAATCCTTGTTCTTCTGCAAAGTTTACTTGAATCTGATGCTAATATTTAGCATTGTAGCTTCTGCTTTTCCATTTCCTACAGCAGAACTGAAAATTGGAGGAGCTATTTACCGATCATTTCCTTTTGATCTAAAAGGTTTCAGTGGCTCTGTCTAGTAAGAGTTTGAGGATGCTGTTCACCTAGTCAGAGTAAAACCATGACTCAGAGTGTGAGAAAATGGCTCTCATCTTCCCAGGAAGCTTTAAATATAAAAACATGTTGTGCTTTTGAATAAAAAGTACAATTTAAAGCCAGTGGATGGAAATTTCTTGTAAGAAGATATCAGAACCCTCTCACTCTTCCTATTCTTAAAAATAAGAGTTATTTTTGTCACAGGAGCTGAGACCTGAATACATTTTTGGATATGAATTTGGCAGATTGTGATAAGGCCCATGAGTCTGTACATCTTTCCTTGGGGCAGCCCCTCCAGTACCCCCCTTTTGCACCCACTGTGCTTGGGTGTCTTGCTGTTTGAAAACACAGGAAAAATGGACTTGCATAATAAAATTACTTTTGCACATATATGATTTTAATTTAAAGCCAGGAACTACTCTGTTGTTTTAAAAATATTTCAGGTCTGTGAAGCTCTATTACAGATTTATTACAGATTTATTTATAGCAGATTTATTACAGAAAGAACATAAAACCAGTATCCAGCCTCGAGTATGGTCCTCAACCCCCATGCTGGTATGGAGAAAAAGAGCGCGTCTTCAGAATATCCATGTTCAAATGCCAACTTCATTATGGGGCAAGTTACTAAATTTTCTCATCTATAAAACATAGATATTAATATTCACCCAGAAAGTTGTGAGAATTAAATGAAACAGAGGTAAAACTTTTAAAAAAACCTTTCCCATCTAGTCCCCTGGCACCAAGAAGGGCTAAGTAAATGCTTAAAGGAAAAGAAAGATAAAGAGTTTGGGATCTAGAATATAGCAGAAAAGAAGGATCAAAGGAAAAGGATTAAATCATCGAGCCCTTGAAGTTGATGAATATTGAAGGAAGTTGTAGAAAGATGAGTGATTATAGTTTGGAGAAATTCTACTAAGATGTAAGCAGATAAATTATGTGTAAGGAACCACTGTTAGATTTTCTTGCTTGAATTAAAGTTTTCACATTCATTTATTTGTTTGTTCTTTCATTAACTCAACAAACATGTAACGAACATTATAACATATGCCAGGAAGGTTTTTAGGACGGGGAATACAAAGAGAAACGCAACCCGTTTTTGCCCTCAGAGAAGTTACAGTCTACATGGGGGAGAGTAACGTGACAAAAATAAGGACTTTAAAATGTGGGGTACGGAAGAGGAAGGATCAGTTTTACATCAGAAAGGAGGCGGGCTCAGCGAGGGCTTCATGGCAGAGGTGATTCTTGAGACGAGAAAGTGTCTGCACAGCTGAGGAGGTGAGGAGGGTGGACGGTGTAGAGCGCAGGCAGAGGAGCCGGAGTGAACAAAGGCACAGGCATGAATCAGCTTTGCACGCGTGTGGGAGGGGCAGGTGGGGTGATGGCAAGCGGTGCAGGGGCGCCTGGAGCCGTGGGCTGGAGAAAGAGGCAGGGTCAGATGGTGGAGAGCCTCACCCGCTATGCTTTGTGGCAGGGCCATGAGGGGCCCCATGAGCGGGTAACGACAGTGGCAATGGAGGGGACTCCAAGAGCAAAGAGACCACCTCTAGTGGGCCAGGCAGGAGAGAGGAATGTGAAGGTTTTGATAAACACGATGAAGTGAGGTTTGAAAGGTGAGGCTTCCCATCACTGCTCGCTGTATCAGTTGCAGGGGGAGCACAACTGAGGCGTCGAGCACAAAACTGAGCACAAAATTAAGCACAAAACTGAGCACTTCTGCCCGGAAGACAGCCTCTCCGATCTCTCTAAGGGATGGCTCCCAAGAGGTAAGGGAGGAGCCAGGATATAGAGGAGTTTTTGCAAGAAAGACCAGGTATTCAGAACATCAAAAGATTACTGTTGATTAAAGAAAACATGCTTTTCTATATATGGGAAGATGCAAGAGTCTGGGCTCATTGAAATCCTTCCTTTGATATGTACCTTAGGACCAGTATCCTGCTTTTCTCCAGCCTGAATCCCTTCAGGGTGCACAGCTGGGGGCAGCTTCAGTGGATACTGGCTTGACGGCCACAACATCCTTTGTATAAAGATACGTCAGCAGGCAGAATTTTTTCATCAACAGAGGCAAGGATATTAAATAAGATGACATTTTTAAAGCCTGGGCATTTGATGATATAGACTTGGACCAGTAGACTGTAGTTTAAATTTTGCCTAATTTCTAACTCTGATTTCTAAGAATGGCTGGAAAATTTGAAAAATGACTATCTCTGCTATGGGGTTGCATAGTCAGATACCAACGTTCACAAATTAGATCTGAAACATGACTCCAGCAATTTGTTTAAAAAATGATGTAACAAGAGGAACTGCACACATGCAAATGAACACCTGTGAAAATTCTTCGGCAAGATCTGCTAAGTTTAGCAACATCAGTTTAGCAATTTGAGAGAAGGAATCTCTTTTGGGGCCAAATGCCCAGTTTTACAGATTGCTTTGCTGCTTGGCTCTGCTGGAATGTTTGTTGAACAAACAATTCCTTTCTTTAAAGGAGTTATTGAACTTTATAATTAATAATCCTGGAAGGAATACATTTAGATGGTGTGCATCTCATTGGGTTCTGAGGCCTGAAGATGTTTGCTGTACCTTTCAGGATTTAGACATATAAACCTCGCTGTATAAAAATTTTCTTAGCAACTAAGTGCATGCAATTCAAGTGTTGTGTTACTTACAAGTCTGCCAGAAACCAAGTTACACTTTTTCTTATTTCCAATACAATGAAAACCCCATCACTTTTTGCTACAGATTCACAGATAAAAATAATTGGGGTCACGAATGAAATGCCCAGGTGACTTCCCTGTCACTCTACAGAGAGAGCCCCCACTTGACATGTTTCTGGTTCCTTAAGACTTTAAAATAGTTTTCTTTCTTTTTTCTTTTTTTCATACTTTCCTAAAACTAAAAAAAGAAAAAGAAAACATGGAAAGAAAAAAATAGAAGATATATACCAAGAAAATATTAACCAAAATAAAGCTGATATTGACACTGTTAATATTATACAAAATAACATCAAGAAAAAGCAGCATTAAGGACCTTATAAAATGATTAAAGATTCAATTCATCGAGAAGGTATAACAATTCTGAACTTGTATCCTTTTTTTTATTTTTTAAATTTTTTTGATTACCAAAGCAAAGACACTGATAAAGCAAATACAATCTGCAATAACAAATACATCTGCAATAGATGCTAAATGTCATTAAATTATTATATAATTTAGACAGTAAACATGGTCTATTTTTGCTTCTTTCCAATAGAATACATTTGATCACTTTTTTTTTTATACAGCAGGTTCTTATTAGTCATCCATTTTATATACATCAGTGTACACATGTCAATCCCAATCTCCCAATTCATCACCCCTCCACCCCCATCCCCCCCGCCACTTTCCCCCCTTGGTGTCCATACGTTTGTTCTCTACATCTGTGTCTCAACTTCTGCCCTGCAAACCAGATCATCTGTACCATTTTTCTAGGTTCCACATATGTGCATTAATATATGATATTTGTTTTTCTCTTTCTGACTTACTTCACCCTGTATGACAGTCTCTAGATCCATCCACTTCTCTACAAATTACTCAATTTCGTTCTATTTTTATGGCTGAGTAATATTCCATTGTATATATGTACCACATCTTCTTTATCCATTCGTCTGTTGATGGGCATTTAAGTTGCTTCCATGACCTGGCTATTGTAAATAGTGCTGCAATGAACATTGGAGTGCATGTGTCCTTTTGAATTGTGGTTTTCTCTGGGTATATGCCCAGTAGTGGGATTGCTGGGTCATATGGTAATTTTATTTTTAGTTTTTTAAGGAACCTCCATACTGTTCTCCATAGTGGCTGTATCAGTTTACATTCCCACCAACAGTGCAAGAGGGTTCCCTTTTCTCCACACCCTCTCCAGCATTTGTTGTTTGTAGATTTTCTGGTGATGCCCATTCTAACTGCTGTGTGGTGATACCTCATTGTAGTTTTGATTTGCATTTCCCTAATAATTAGTGTTGTTGAGCAGCTTTTCATGTGCTTCTTGGCCATCGGTATGTCTTCTTTGGAGAAATGTCTATTTAGGTCTTCTGCCCATTTTTGGATTGGGTTCTTTGTTTTCTTAATATCAAGCTGCATGAGCTGTTTATATATTTTGGAGATTAATCCTTTGTCTGTTGATTCATTTGCAAATATTTTCTCCCATTCTGAGGGTTGTCTTTTCATTTTGTTTATGGTTTCCTTTGCTGTGCAAAAGCTTTTAAGTTTCATTAGGTCCCATTTGTTTATTTTTGTTTTTATTTCCATTACTCTAGGAGATGGATCATAAAAGATCTTGCTGTGATTTATGTCAAAAAGTGTTCGTCTTATGTTTTCCTCTAAGAGTTTTATACTGTCTGGCCTTACATTTAGGTCTCTAATCCATTTTGAGTTTATTTTTGTGTATGGTGTTAGGGAGTGTTCTAATTTCATTCTTTTACATGTCCAGTTTTCCCAGCACCACTTATTGAAGAGACTATCTTTTCTCCTTTGTATATCCTTGCCTCCTTTATCATAGATTAGTTGACCATAGGTGTGTGGGTTTACCCCTGGGCTTTGTATCTTGTTCCATTGATCTATGTTTCTGTTTTTGTTCCAGTACCATATTGTCTTGATTACTGTAGCTTTGTAGTATAGTCTGAAGTCAGGGAGTCTGATTCCTCCAGCTCCAATTTTTTTCCTCAAGACTGCTTTGGCTATTCGGGGTCTTTTGTGTCTCCAAATTTTAAGATTTTTTTGTTCTAGTTCTGTAAAAAATGCCATTGGTAATTTGATAGGGATTGCATTGAATCTGTAGATTGCTTTGGGTAGTATAGTCATTTTCACAATATTGATTCTTCCAGTCCAAGAACATGGTATATCTCTCCATCTGTTTATATCATGTTTAGTTTCCTTCATCAGTGTCTTATAGTTTTCTGCATACAGGTCTTTTGTCTCCCTAGGTAGGTTTATTCCTAGGTATTTTATTCTTTTTGTTGCAGTGGTAAATGGGAGTGTTTCCTTAATTTCTTATTCAGATTTTTCATCATTAGTGTATAGGAATGCAAGAGATTTCTGTGCATTAATTTTGTATCCTGCAGCTTTACCAAATTCATTGATTAGCTCTACTAGTTTTCTGGTGGCATCTTTAGGATTCTCTATGTATAGTAGCATGTCATCTACAAAGAGTGACAGTTTTACTTCTCCTTTTCCAATTTGTATTCCTTTTATTTCTTTTTCTTCTCTGATTGCCGTGGCTAGGACTTCCAAAACTATGTTGAATAATAGTGGTGAGAGTGGACATCCTTGTCTTGTTCCTGACCTTAGAGGAAATGCTTTCAGTTTTTCACCATTGAGAATGATGTTTGCTGTGGGTTTGTCATATATGGCCTTTATTATGTTGAGGTAGGTTCCCTCTATGCCCACTTTCTGGAGAGTTTTGTTCATAAATGGGTGTTGAATTTTGTCAAAAGATTCTTCTGCATCTATCGAGATGATCATATAGTTTTTTATTCTTCAATTTGTTAATATGGTGTATCACATTGATTGATTTGCGTATATTGAAGAATCCTTGCATCCCTGGGATAAATCCCGCTTGATCAAGGTGTATGATCCTTTTAATGTGTTGCTGGATTGTGTTTGCTAGTATTCTGTTGAGGATTTTTGCATCTATATTCATGAGTGATATTGGTCTGTAATTTTCTTTTTTTGTAGTGTCTTTGTTGGGTTTTGGTATCAGGGTGATGGTGGCCTCATAGAATGAGTTTGGGAGTGTTCCTTCCTCTGCAGTTTTTTGGAAGAGTTTGAGAAGAATGGGTGTTAGCTCTTCTCTAAAGGTTTGAGAGAATTTACCTGTGAAGCCATCTGGTCCTGGACTTTTGTTTGTTGGAAGATTTTTTTTTTTTTTTTTTGCGGTACGTGGGCCTCTCACTGTTGTGGCCTCTCCCGTTGTGGAGCACAGGCTCCGGAAGCGCAGGCTCAGCGGCCATGGCTCATGGGCCCAGCCACTCCGCGGCATGGGGGAGCCTCCCGGACCGGGACACGAACCCGTGTCCCCTGCATCGGCAGGCGGACTCTCAACCACTGCGCCACCGGGGAAGCCCTCCCTCCCCGCCTTCTGGATTTTAAGTCATGTTATAAAGGCCTCTCCTACTCTGAGATTGTATATGAATTTTTCCTTATTTGTCCTAGAAATTTGATTCTTTCACTTCCCGCATTTAAATCTTTGATCCATCTAGAATTTATCCTGGCATATATTTGAGATATGGTTCCACCTTTTTCTCCCCAGATGGTCACTCATTTATAACCAATGCCATTTATTGAATTACCCTTAGAATCCCCACTGCTGTGAAATGCCACCTTCATACACTAAAGTCCTGTGTGCCTTTGCCTCTGTTCTTGGGCTCCCTGTTCTGCTCTGTTGGTTTGCTGCCTATTCATGCTTCAGGACCAACCTGTTCATGGACTGAGCATGGCTTAAAGTCAGCAGGGCTCGTTT